CTGACAACTGTGCATGAGGCATGTACATACCTACAGAGGAATGGACGTGTACAATGTACTTGACTCAAAGAAGAAAGCTTTGTTACTTTCACATAGATTCATAGATTCTAGGACTGGAAGGGACCTCGAGAGGTCATCGAGGCCAGTCCCCTGCCCGCATGGCAGGACCAAATACTGTCAAATGTCTATCAGGGATGGTCTAATCTAACCTACTCTTAAATATCTCCAGAGATGGAGATTCCACAACCTCCCTAGGCAATTTATTCCAGTGTTTAACCACCCTGACAGTTAGGAACTTTTTCCTAATGTCCAACCTAGACCTCCCTTGCTGCAATTTAAGCCCATTGCTTCTTCTTCTATCCTTAGAGGCTAAGGTGAACAAGTTTCCTCCCTCCTCCTTATGACACCCTTTTAGATACTTGAAATGTATAGTTAGGGTACCTATCAATTTCATGGCTGTGAAAAATGTGCCACAGACCGTGAAATAAGCCCTTCGCTGTGAAATCCAATCTCCCCTTGTTCCTAGGAGCGCCCCAGCAAAGGGGGCTCCTAGCTCCAGCTGGGCTGGGGAGGGACAGGACTTGTCCATCCCCTGTGCAGCCGCTCTGTGGCAGCGGGGAAACCAGACCCACCTCTGGGTACCTCCCCCTGCTGCAGGACACTCTGGGACTGGGCAACACCCCCAGAGATTCCTGCAGCTGGAGGCGGCTTGTGGAGTTGGATCTGATCTTCCCTATGCTGCTGGGAGTTCCCCACCAAAGGGGGCTCCTAGCTCTGGCTGGACTGGAGGAGGGACAGGACTTGCTCTTTCCCTGCAGGGCTGCTCTTGGGTATCTCTCCCGGCTGCAGATAGCTCTGCACCTCTTCCTCCCCACTTGCTTCCTGTCCCCCTCCCTTTGCAGCTACCTGGGGAGGGGACGTTGTACAGGGAACTTCCCGCCCCGCCCCCTTCCTGGTGCAATTATTAGCTTATTTCAAAAAAAATAAAAAGTGAGTCACTTGACAGAATTTTTTGATTGACACTTTACAGCAGCAAATCGCACACAGGCTCAACTCATTGATTAGTAGATATGGACATTAGGGAGGTTTTGTAGTGGTCTCAATTGACTGTCTGCGAGAAGACACATGCAACTACTGTAAAATGAGTCTCCCAAGTAAATAAAAAATGATTACTGCAGCGGATCGAGTGAAAGAATTAGGAAGCCAAACTCTACATGCCAATGGTGACAAACTATTTTGTACAAGCTGCAATGTTTCATTGGCTCACACATGTTGGGCAACAGTTCAGCGCCAATTAGACTCGGAAACCCATCAAAGCAGAAAGAGGGCTGCAGATAGTGAATTGCTGGTAAATGAAAAGTTAAAAAACAAAAAACAAATTTCTTCTCTTTTTAAGAAGATGACAGAACTCCGAGATCTGTCATTTAGCAAGAATGGAACTTGTGGATGGATTGGCAAGTGCTAATATACCATTGAAAAAACTTGATCACCCAAAGCTGTATGAATTCACTCAACGGAATGTACAAAATGCGATTGCTTACCAAGTGCTAATAAGCTGCGACAGAACTACCTTCCAAAGGTTTTTGCTACACATTTTGAGGAGATGAAGTCTCCAATTAACTCATGTGAGTCTTTTGTAATTATTTTGGATGAGTCCACAGATGAGGAAGACAACTATGTACTGCATGTTCTGTTTGATTTTATTTCTGACAAGGCCAAAGATGTACAGACAGGAAAGCTAACAGTGTTCGCCGACTGCATTTATTTGGATGCTGTTAACTACACTAGTTTCTCAAGCAATAATTAAAAGTTTTTAAATATAGTGCGAACTCAGACAAAGCATCTGCTTTCATAAGCGACAATGCAACTTACATGATGAAATCTTTCAAATCGGTTCTCCAAGGTCTAATGCTGTCCATATTACATGTAATGCGCATATAATTTCTCTTTTCAGTGAGCTGTGAGTTTGGTAAAGTTGATAAACTGGTCAAGTACAGTAAAAAGATGTTTAAACTTTGCCCTAGCCACAAACTTCAATACAGGCAGCACGTTGCAAACACGACTGAAATGATTGAAATTGGAGAACAAAAAATTGCACTTCCTGCAGTGCCAGTAATTACTCGTTGGAATTCCTGGTTTCGGGCTGTACAGTACCATGCAGCTCACCTGAAGTACTACTCTGAGTTTGTCTCAGAAGAGCTGACAGTGACACCGAAAACACAGGTTTTAACAGAATGTCAACCCTTCTAAACGATGCTCAGCTCAATGAGGAAGTTCAGTTTGTTGCCAAAAATGCCACAGGACTCATGGACTTAATCACTTGGTTTGATTCTCAACATGTCACAATCCACTAAGTATACAACGAAGTAATGGATGTACTCTTCTGGGCTGAAGCACAGTCAAACGAAAATCACGCTGATACTGCTGAGTTAAATGCCAGTGATCAGCAGATGTTTTCTTGCATGGCAATTCTACTCAGACAATTCTACTACTGTGGGGAAGAGTCTAGCAATGTAGCAAAAATGACTCAAAAGTTTCAACAACCTGCAGCAGGGTTCCTAAAAGCAGTGCATATTTTTGACCCTGCAAAAATGCACCTGATGCTAGTAGATTTAACTTTGCTTAATGCAATTCCTGGCTTTGATAAAACTGTAGGCAGGAGCTGCCTGCTTACAAAAATATTGCAAAAGAAGGGGTGTGTAGTTTGCCTGTACTACAATTTTGGAACTCAGCAGAAGGTAGAATCTCCCATCTTGCAAGGCTAGTTCGGCACTGTCGGACAATTCCAACGAACTCCATGGATGCAGAGAGAGCAGTGTTTAAACAAGGACAGGTGGTTTCAGCACAGAGACAGGGAATGAAGAGAGGCACGGTTGCTGGATGCTCCATGCTGACATTCAATTAATGACATTTGAAACAAGAACTTTTTTTTCCATGTGTTTTTGTTAATTTAAGTCTGTGGCTCAAGTTTGAGGCTACCAATTGAGATCACTACCCTACAAAACTGTCTCAGATTCCCGTATCTACCAATCAGGGAGTTGAGTCCTTAGTGTTGTTTGTTGCTGCAAAGTGTCTATCAATAAATCCTATCAAGTTCACATGAGCTTTCTTTATTTTATTGAAACACACTAATAAATTGCATCTGCAACGGGAGGCACACTCTGTACAGTGACCCCTCCCCCTGCGGTTGCAGGGAAATGGGGGCAAGCAGTGTGTGTGTTAGGGTGGGGAGTGTGGAGCTTTCTGCAGCTGGGAGAGGTACCCAAGAGCAGACATGCAGAGGAAGAGCAAGTCTTGTCCCTCCCAAGCTGGCCAAGACTAGCCGCTAGGAGCCCCTGGCTGGGGCACTCCCAGCAGCCCGGGGGAGATCAGACCCACGTCCACCTACAGGAACCTCCTGCAGCTGCAGGAGGTTGCTGTCTTCAGAGTCCAGCTCTGAAGTCAGCACAGAAATGAGGGTGACAATCTTATAACCCCCCCATAACAGGTTTGTGACCCCCAACCCCACAATCTCCTTTTGGGTCAGGACCCCCATGGATACAACACCGTGAAATTTCAGATTTAAATATCTGAAAACATGAAATTTACCAATTTTCAAATCCTATGGCCATGAAATTGACCATAATGGACAATGAATTTGGTAGGGCCCTATGTATAGTGTTACAGAGTCCAAGTTTGACTTCTGTTTGTCTTTAAAGATGAGTAAGGAATGAGTATTCATTCCTAGGGAAGTGTTCCCTGTTAATCAGAAAAAAAGCGGAAAGACAAATGTATTGTGAGGCTAAAACAGATAAAAGGTCATTATTAATTCTAATGTATCATGTAGTTACTCAGACTTGCTTGTCTTGATTTAATCTCTAAATAATAACTGAATTATTAACATGAATTACGATACTAGGTGGTGCATACTTGTTTTGAACACTTTGTTCAATAGGAAACGCATTATCAGCTAATATCTAATGCATTCTTACATTTTATATATCAATATTCCTAGTACATACAAAATACTTCAATTTGAACTATGTTTACTTTTATCAATGCACATTAATAATAATTTTTCTCTCACCTGTACAATATCCCTTTCTGCATATTTTCCTCTTGAAGAGACTCTGACTACATCACCATCCAATTCTTCCATAGCTTAAAAAAAAAAAAAGGTAGTTTATCCACTTGCCATTTCAGCCACCCAACAAAACTATGTTATCAAAAAGAAACTTTAGATCCTTCTGAACCCAGAGCAACAAAAAGCCTTCCTTTCTATTAATTTAAGGCATCTCTTAAGATCCTCCTTTATACAAAATGTATCCGGTACAACAGTTAATTTGCACCCTCCCTACCATTCACAGAACTATCAGTTTCTTGTATTTATAATGTTATTTACTTCTTTAGCACAAAATAAATGGTACAGAAAGCCAGTACAACACTTTTTGGATAATTTAAATCCTACCCCACTCTAGAGCTGTAATCTATAAACTGGAGTAGCAGTAACATGGAAACAGCACTGTAGCCTTATACCCAGATTTGAGTGTGGGACTCTCTTCTAACCCCCATTACTTCAGTTAACTGCACTTTATCAGTAAAATAAATTTCACAACTATTCTCTATTTCTCCCCAGGTAAAGAAATCTTTTTCCTTAGCCTTTTGGTATGGCATGAGGCAGGAGTGATTCAAACTTGCATCTGGAAATGTAATGACTGTCACTGTCTAGTAGTAACAAACTCTTGAAGATTATGATAATAAATGGATCATGTAACACTTTAGGTAAGGAATTTGTTCAGTGTTTACATAATTTTTTTAATTTGACAGGGCATAACTGATTTGCAAGTGAATATCTACAGCACATTAATAAACAATCATACCCCAACAGGTATAGAACTAGAAAAACTAAAGTGATTTTCTATTTTAAAAAGTGACTAAAAATGACACCACATTTTTATGGTCTCTCAATGATTTCGAGAGCGAATGTGCTTAGTTTACAAGTAAATTTTTTTCTCCCCAGGAACTTAACCTGGAATATAAATAGAAGTTTGATTTTTTTTTCTTTCTTGTGCATCAGAACCAGTAATAAGAGTTCTGCAGGTCAAAATCTGCTCTAAGTGACACCTGTGCAAATCCATTGCCTCCGATTCCTCAGACATTCATTTTTTCCATCAGTTTCACTGCTGAGGCTATCACTGCTGTATATATCACCTGAAGCTTAGCTAATAACAAAACTGAAGTAGAAATATCATAAGTGATTAGTACTATGACCCAGCACAGAAGAAAATCATTTACAAAAAGGATCTAAAGTCTAGGAAGATTAGAAGTTTTTTGCCTTCAACCATAAGTTACTTTTTTTTGTAAACTATTTCCAGAAGACATCAGAAAGTGTTGTGATCTTTGTGCTACCCACTGAATTGAGCTCCAAGTTAGAGTTTTGTGGTATCACATCTATTCTACGTAGATGGATTGAAAAAACTGATTCAAAGCTAATTGTACAAGTGTTATATTTTGAATGAGATGCACCATATTCTGAAGTCTTTAAAATGCTCAACTTTCTGGCTATAATTTGGTTTGCAAGTTGTTCTAGCTAAAACTGGTTGAAAGGAAATGTCCTATTCTTCAAACCTGAAATGTCTTACAGAAGCAAGTCCAGTTCAATGAACTTTTGCTCATTCACAGACAGTGTTCTGTTGAACCTTGCAAGGTTCCCTACCAACTCACCTAGTGGGTTGCTGGGGCCCGTGGGCTTCTAGAGACAAGGCTCCAGGAGAAGCCTACCATGTAGACTGCTGCCCTGGGACTCGGGACCCTGGTCTTCCAGGGACTATAGCAACAAAGCAGCCCCACCATGCAGACTGCCCCAGGACCAGGGAACCTGGGCTTCCAGGTTCTGTGGCTCTGAGGCAGACCTACCCTGTGGACTGCCCCACAGCTTCCAGGGTCCGCAGCTCCACCATATGGACTGTCCTGGGACCAAGGATTCCCAGCTACCAGGGTCTGTGGTAGCCTTACCACATGGACTTCTGTGGAGCTGGAAGCCTGGAAACCCTAGAGGCTCTTGACCCATGGCTGCTGAGCTGAGATGTCCTAGAGTGGGCTCCCAGGATCTGTGGCAGCCTTGCCACGTGGACTGCCCTGGGCCCTGGACTCAGGGCTTCCAGATGCCTGGGCTAGCTGGCTCCCTGTGCTGCCCAAATCCCAAGTGGGCAGCCTAGGGAGCCAGCTGGCCGAGGTGTCTGGAAGCCTTGGGATCTGCAGCCTGGGCAGTCTGTGTAGTGTGTCTGCCCCAGAGCCATAGACTCTGGGAGCCCAGCAGTTACTGACTGAAACTGACATTCTTGTAAATTCCACGGCTGATGATAATGGTGAAACTGATTCAATCTCAGTCAGAGCTGCTGGTCTTGGGGGACATATTTTGTTTGGGAAACACCATGTGCTGGTGTTTTCAGTGTTTTTTTGGGATTTCTGGTTCATGAGAAATTTTGAAAATTTTTGATTTTGGTCTGATTTGAAATTAATCCCATCTCTGAAATATCAATTTCTCCCTAACTAGAAAACACAAGTTTTGGACAGCTCTAGGTTTATCCTCTGATCAGCCCACACCATTGGATTATCATTTTTTACTCATAGCTGTAAATTTTATTTAAGTTTGAGGGTTCTGTTTGAGAGAACTGCCTGTAGTTCTGTAACTGATTCCCAAGTTCTTTTCTGGGGAGAAAATGCTCTGGAGAGTCATTTGCTGGCTAGTTAAAAGCAGAAGATTTATAGGAGTCTCTTGTTTTCCACTCTCCCCCTCCCCCATGTTTAGGAACTCTGAATGAAGACAAATACTTAGTTTCCTCCAGTTCAGGACAGAAAGCTGCTCCCTCTCCTAGCAGAATTGCCTATCAGTGCTCTGCTACAATACATCCTCCTTTTAAAGTTGGTCTAACCCTCAGCCCCACCTAATATCAGGAAGCCCTTTTCAAGATTCATAGCAAATTTTGCATTAGTGATTAAAAGAAAATATAAAAATGTGTAATGTTTCCTGTTAGTTCACATGTGGACAATCAGGTATTCATCATTGCCATATGTTTAGTAAGGTGCATGGGGATTGCAACTCCTGCAGGGCATGATGGTATCAGTGTTTCCAGGACTGGCATGGAGGAAAAAATGGATTTGTTTAATTCTGGACACTCTGTTTGGGTGAAACTTGATAGTACGTATCTTATCCTGCTAATCCCTATTTTTTAGTTTTTTATTCATGGTGATCTTTTCTGTTGTTTCATTACTGGATCTGAGTCCTAGGTTTATTTTTTTCTCTCTCACGTATAAGACAACCTCTAATTGAAAGGTTGAGGACAAAATCTCCTATGGGCAGGTTATTTCATTATTGGCCACTTCAGAGTTTCTTGTACCTTTCACTAATGCATCTGGTACCGGTTACAATTTAAGATAGATATGGCACTAACTGGACCATTGGACTGATCCAGTAGGGCTATTACTTTGATCCTATGACAGACAATTATAAGTACATGAACTGCAAGTTCTATTCTCTATTAGTGATGGTCACTTTTTAACCTTGCCATGCTTTTTATGTATTGTAGATATTGCAAGTATGGCTTCTTTTTGCTTGAAGACAAATGAAAACATATCCATTTTATAGAAATATGGGTAGGCATGGAAGGTCTAGGTTGTTTTAATAGATAAATGTCAATTTCATCACACACACACAAACCAAATAAAAATAATACTTCCATTGATAATAATCAAAATTTACAGATAGGTAAAGAAAAATGTTGCTTGAGAACATATTAACATTTGATTTAAGGATATTTACTTTGCATATTTTGATATCTGATATTGACAATTTGTATTTTAATGGTTATAAAGCTTTAACTTTTTGAATCTCAACATCTACTGTCATTGAATAATTATTGCCTGACCGCAACCATTTGTCTGACCATCCTCTAATTTACTGCAAGTCTGAAAATTCAAATAGATAAAACAAGAAAAAAAATGCATAACCCCCATAATTCTATGCAACAGTGAAAATATAACTGATATAACAGGAAAAAAATGCTTAAAAACAAACATTGATATTATCTGTTAAATTTATACAAAAAAAAGTAACAATCGAGTTCTGCTAAGCCTAAATATAGGTCAACATTTTCTGGAGCTACAACTGCAACCTCAGGGATGCAGTAGTAACTGTAGCCCCCATTCTCCACCTCTCTAAGGGGTCAAGGGATGATGTTCAATAGGTCTCATGTCTGTAGACCAACTTGACACTTCTTGCTCTTCCCTGAGAGCTCTATGTTGAAGTGCTGATACTTGCCACAGAATATAGCTTTGTAGAATGCTGGGGGAGTGCAGGCCCACTCAGGTGGCCTCTCTACAGCTTGGATGTTGCTTGGGTGCATTTAGGGTTTTCTGTACCTGTCTGGGGATCAAGGGTCAGGATTCTGCTCTAAAGTTTGGAAGAATTTTAAAATGTTGGTACTTTTTTGTTCACATTGTACTATTCTCCCAACACTGTTGCTAAACGATGCTAGTGCCAAATCAAGAGACAATAATATAACCACATTTATTATATGAAAATTAAATATAATCTAGATAATATCTTAAATTTACTCAGAGTTCTTTTATTTATTTGGTTACTGCAGTTAGAAGGATCAGACATATAGTCAATGCTACAAGCCATCTGAAACTGCACAAATAACTAAGTATCTGTTCAGCAAAACTTCTTGAGCATATCCTACCCACTTCTTTGCTTTTTTCTTTTTACATAACAGCTTGTGGAGCATTATAAATGAAGAGCCCATATATGGTTTTGTGAACTGAACAGGTGTCCTTAGGGGCAAAATAACTCCACATGCAGGCTTGTAAGCATGTTGAGCTATCAATCATCAAGTCAGCTGGAAACTTCAACATTGTTCATAGCTTGTTCTATATTATGCTGTTCTTTAAAAAGCACAGAATTTATCTGAAGAGCCATATATTATTGAAATAGAAGGGCTAAGCAATTTAGGAAAAACATATTGATACCAGAACACTTACCATCAAACTCTGCTGGTCCAACTCCTACTATAATTATTGACATTGGAAGCTTTGATGCCTTCAAAACAGGAAGAAAACAGATTTAATACACAGTATAATCTGCAAATATTATGCTGGACTTGAAATATAATTGGATTAAAAACATGTACAGCTCCTTATATTGTGAGGAGGAAAGGAAAAAGTACCAAAGAAAAATACATGTAAGTTGTCTGCTCTAAGTTATATAAAAATCTTGGATGAAGATAGTATGAAAGTTGATCATTTTGTTCTTTTGAGTTTTGGTTTGTTATTTCCCCATAATTTGTCTTTTTATGATGCATATAAAATAAAAAATATGATTAAATGCAACAAACTCTATTAAGGCACATTAAGAGTGCACAACTAATATTCCTATAGCAGTTTATTAATCAATGCAAATAAGAGTTGCAAATGGGCATCCAATGGCAGAACCTGATGCTTAATTAACACACAGTAAAGTACACAGAATTTCAAGATACCATATATCTATCTGGAAGCAAGTAACTTAATTTTCTTTGCACATGTACTATTTCTATTCTTGGAGCCTCTCAGAAATAAGACTTTACATTTCTTCCATAAAATAAATATTAATTAAAATTAATTAGCCAGGAAACTGAGAAAAAAGAAAATAGGATGAGTAACGTAAAATAAAATTGTGAAAGGTAAATCTTTTAAAAGGAATAGATACTTGAAGATTTGTATTCTATAAAATCAGATAGATGATATACCGCTTTATGTGAATAAAATATTTGTAAATTCACAAAGGCAACGTCATAAATATTTTAGGTTTCCTTTCCCTGATGGCAGCACAAAACATCTGCAAGTTTAAGGAAATGTTCTGGAACTAGCTGCCTGGAGCATGAAGACAATTAAAATCCATCAAGCAAATGTCAGAACTGACAACTGTTCCTTACTGGGATATACCGCTAAACTTTGAAATCTTTAAAGTCATTCTAAGCAAACCTGTATATTGGCCAAAATCATACATGTACAATTTCACATACACCTCTACCCCGATATAACGCTGTCCTCGGGAGCCAAAAATCTTACTGCGTTGTAGGTGAAACCGCGTCATATCGAACTTGCTTTGATCTGCCAGAGTGCGCAGCCCCGCTGCCCCCCGGAGCACTCCTTTACCATGTTATATCTGAATTCATGTTATATCGCGGTAGAGGTGTAATAGCAATTGTAGGGAAGCAAGTTGTTTTTGAAACACACATACTTTTCTTTTTATATATTCCATCTGTATTTGTCACTTTTGATATTTTATAATGCTGTCCATGAGCTAATTTACTTGAGCAAGAAAATATGACAGACAAATTTAATACTAACACAGCACACAACTCTTGAAAACAGACAAATTTGCCTTAAATTACTCCCTCTGAAATGGACTTTTTTTTATAATATAGATCATGTCAAATGAAATTATACCTAATATGGTATACAGTTAAGATACCAGGAAATGACTCCAGTTACAGTGTAATTATAACATGTAATCCAGGTAGTTAACCTTCTGGTTATAGTACACCTCTACCCAGATATAACACAAATTTGGATATAACGCGGTAAAGCAGCACTCCGGGGGGGCAGGACTGTGCACTCTGGTGGATCAAGGCAAGTTTGCTATAACGCGGTTTCACCTATAATGCGGTAAGATTTTTTTGGCTCCCAAGGACAGAGTTATATTGGGGTAGAGGTGTCTTGTATTAGGAATATATATGTAAAAAGTATAACAGAGTAATTACAGAGTAATGTATTAAATATTAAATTAAAGGGTAATAAGTATATCAGCCCAGTAGTTAACTGTAGCTATCAAAAATATGATTGCAGTGTAATTAAATTGTAACTGCAGTATACATTCAGTATATACAGTACTGCTTTCACTGCACAGTGTATTATAAAATGTATTCCGATATATTTAATAAATAAAATACCCTACAATTTTTATTACAATTTTGAATATAAATTACTTTCATGGACTCTGTCTGGTATACACAAGGCAGTATACAGTACTACAAGATGCTACACGTATGAATCCTGTAAGAGGGGGAAGTGAAGTTTATGAATGCAACCTTACCATTGGCATCTCCTGAATAAGTGCTTAATGTTGCAACTTTTAACACTACATTAATATAGTTTTTTCCATGGAAGTAGAGTGCATGTGACATACCAGTAACGAGAAAGATTATGCTCAGTGCCTGAAAACATCATTTATACCTAAACCACTGAAAATATATTCTGCTTGAACTTTACATAGATCAGACTTCATGAACTTCATTGTCTTTTTACACCAAGAAACAGATTTCTTAGTAATTAATGAAAAAAGCATTATCTGATAGCAATTCATTTTTAGTATATTTTTGTCAAGGTGACAAATGGATTAAATAAATGTAATAAGTTTTTAATCTCAAGAATCCATGCAGAAAAATTAACATAGCTCCATAAAAATAAAAAGTATAGATATCGCCAACATTTCACTTACTCCAAGTTAAAGAGACAGCCATTTAGCTGTATTTCCACAACCGTGCAAAGCAGTTTCATTATTGTAGACTTTGTTTTAACATAAAACATGTTTTGACCGGAACTATTAATTACTGAAACAAAATAACTGATTTTAGTCATTGTAGGGAGCAGTGACAGCTGAGCTGGGTTTGGTGGTTTGTTTGGATTTTTTTAACCTGGAAGGATGCGCAGCTTGGTGTCAGGACGGACCAAAGGTCATTCCTCTAGCTCTAAGAAGCCCTTTTATTGGCTGTGAGGGAGGGAAGGAGCTGTGCTCCCAACCTTTAGGCTGAGCTGGAAAAGGAGCACAGAACCATTAGAACTCTTCTCTTTCTGCAGCAACGTTCTTTGCAGGCAGTCTGTTTGCTCGTTCACCCGCACACACTGCCCAATGCGAGGTGGAAAATAAAGCAGTCATGACAGGGTGGGCTTTGGCTGCAGGCAGGAGTGCTCTATCCCCACTATCAACCCCCAGCTTTACAGGTGTAAGTTGTCATTCATTCCCTGCAGTTTTACCTCAAAGGGGAAGAAACAGCTGTGGGCACAAGCCAGTAAACCATCTTCTTCCCCTCCTTCCAATCCCTCCATCAATATGATCAGCTTTCAAAGTGCTCCTATCAGACAGCTGAATAAAGCATTTAGGGATATGCTCAAGGAGTTGCCCAGAGAACAAATCAATGTGGTTTTGGGACTGTTTGGTACTTTCACACCCTTGTTTTCTGCTTTCCAAGTGGGCAAGCCTCCATTTCCAGAGGAGAGGGAGAAAAAGGGGGTTAGAGGGAGACCTCATAGTGGGAGGACTAAGTTCCCTCTAAGCTGCGCAGCTGCGTGGCCATACAGTAGGCTATCAAGGGCCATGCAGGGGGGAGAGGTGCCTCTCCCCCGGCCCTGCACCCAGAGCTGCTGCAGCCGGCACCTCTCCCCTGGCCCTGACCCTGGATCTGCTGCGGCCAGTGAGAGACACCTCTCCCCTGGCCCTGAAACTGCTGCAGCTGGCGGGAAGCGCCTCTCCCCCAGCCCCGGGCTGCTGCGGCGAGAGAGGGCTGGGGGGAGTCCTCTCTCCCCGACGCAGCCCTGGGGAAGCCTGCCCATAGGGGTGGCTCCAGGCACCAGTGCAGCAAGCGCGTGCCTGGGGCGGGAAGCCGCGGGGGGCGGCCTGCCAGTCGTTGTGAGGGTGTGCCTGCGGGAGGTCCGCCAGTCCCTGCCTGCACACCAAACCCCTCCATCCCTGGCCCCACCTCAGAGCCTTCACCCTTGCACCCCAACCCTCTTTCCCAGCCCTGAACTCCCTCCAAACCTCTGGGCCCCACTCCTGCCACACATCATCTCCTTAGGTGCACATAACAAATTTCATTCCGCACATGGATGTAAAAAATTAAAGGGAACATTGGGGGAGGGTCAACAGAATTTAAGATTTTTTCAGATGTTGACACACTGGAGGACCCAGTGTCTCAGATGAATGAGGCGTTATAAATTAGTGGAGGATGGCCGTCATGTGCCTGGATTGAGGAATGGAACAAGTACATCTGGGAATTAGCTTGAAAGAGTGAGAGGAAACCAATGCAGCTGCATCAGCCAGAGAAAGAGTTCAGGTATCTGAAAGGGCACTGATGAGCAAGTGGGCTCTAGGGCATCCAGGGGCAATTCCTGGACTTGGGGCTAAGGATCTGGTACAGGGGAGAAGGCTCCCTGAGACCTAGTGTTCATATCTGGTGACCCCTGTAACTACCAAGAAAGTTGTTTCAGTAGTTGGGGGGAGAGACATTATAAATGTGATCAAGTCATAATCACTTGTAGCTAAGCTACCATTAACATTTTTAGTTTTGTGATCAGTTACTCTTTATCTGTTAGGACCTGGTCTAATAAAGAATTCCCTGTGTTGGCTGTAATACTTCTTGAGTTAGGATATTGTCATCTATTATGTTCAGAATCCAAGGATGTTTTAGTACTAGTAGCGTGAGACTTCCAAAATGTGTCACTCAAACTGAATTCCCCCATGATCACACAGGTTTTTTCCTTACACATTATAGATAAATGCGTAAAGAGGTGGTCATTGTGTTCCCTAATGTGATTTGGCAGTCTGTAAAAGACACCAATGAATGCCCGATCTTATGCTTTATCTATTTTGACATTGATCCATACACATTTAAGATCATTTTCTTCTGAGTTATCAATGAGTGAGAAACAAGTAATACCATTTTTGACAGAGTGCCACCCCGACTCCTGTTTAGCCCACTTGATCCTTCCTAAATAGATTATAATAATTGATTTTAACATTCCAATAGCAAGGATCATCCTACCAGGTTTCAGTAATACTAACTAGATCGAATTTATTCTCATAAATGTATGACTCCAATTCCTCTTGTTTGTTACCCAGGCTCCTTGCACTGGTGTATGGGTAATTCAAGAATTTCTTCTCTTCATGTCCTTTTTTTCTTGATTAAGGTTGTTCTTAACATCTCGATTTTGTGCTGATTGTTCATACCTACCCTCTTTTTACCCTCCACTTTTGATATTAGTTTTGCGCCCTCATGACTATTCTAGCCAGCCTGCCCTGAGGAGATTGGTCCCCCTTCTAGTGAGGTGGAAGCCATCCAACCCCTTTCCCTATAAGAGGTGGACCAATGTTCCACAAAACCAAAACCTTCTGGACTATACCACTTACCTAACCAGTGGCTCCAGAATCTTCTGCTTTCCTTCATGAGACAGGTCATAGTCCATGTCACCTTTTTTGGGCCATATTCACACCCTCATCATATAAAAGTCACATAAAAATCCAGATATGTTCTCCCTACTTGAGTTCTGGTATCTGTACTGAGGACCAGCCTCTCTGAACCTGACATCAGGTATCTCTTTAATAATATTTAGAATGAATTTACCAAAAGATTCTAGTACTGGATCTGGACCAAGATCTTTATATATTGATTTACTGCAGTTGCTGGCTGGAAGTGAAACCATAACTTTGCTGGGTATCCACTTATGAGATCAACTTGTCCAGGAACTGAGTCAAATATTTTATCTTGGTAGAGGTGTGCTAATGTTTGGTAAATGAGACACCATATTCTTCTCTCTCTTTTCTGAAATAGATATGGTCTTGGATATAACTTACATTCTGGAGTTCTTTGAAGACTGTAATTGATGTTTCCAAAGCCATGTTTCGGAATGATTTAACAGTGGCTATTGGACCCTGGACATAATGAGAAGGTCATCCTGACAAGAGTAGACATATATCTTTCACTTGAAGGGAAGGATGATATAGCATTTGTGAATACCCGAGTCGAAATGTGTACCAAAAAAAAAAAAAAAAAAAGGAAATATTTTGTATTAAAAACGTTTCTTATGCTAGCAGAATCTAAAGTATCTTTGGATGATGACTCCTCCTGATCACATGTTCAGTAGATCTCCAGGAGATTTATTTTCATATTATGAAGCTTTGGGAAGATGATGCTGTAATGACGGATTTCAGTACAGTAGAACCTCAGAGTTACAAACTGACCCGTCAACCATATACCTCATTTGGAGCCAGAACTATGCAATCAGGCAGCAGCAGCAGAGACCTCCCCTCCCACCCCCAGAAAGCAAATACAGTACACTACTGCATTAAAAGTAAACTACTAAAAAAAACAAATGGAAAGTTTAAAAAAAGATTTAACAACGTTAGGAAACTGTTTCTGTGCTTGTTTAATTTAAATTAAGATGGTTAAAGCAGCATTTTTCTTCTGTATAGTAAAGTTTCAAAGCTGTATTAAGTCATTCAGTTGTAAACTTTTGAAAGAACAACCATAACAATAAGAGTTACGAACATTTCAGAGTTATGAACAACCTCCATTCCTGAGATATTCATAACTCTGAAATTCTACTGTATTTCCTCCTGGAATCTTGATCTCTGTATGGATGTGTTGAATGGGTTGAATGCTACAATTCCCTTTGCAAGACAAAGAATCTTGTGGAATCTTGTACCCTCTACAAAATATTTGGCTCTCCACAGAACTGGTTCCTATTATTCCAGTATGTAGGAGATGGTCTACTGTACCCTTCATCTTCTGATGCTTCGAAGGTTCTCATAGTGTTGGTTTATTTATTTATTTTGAGTAAAGGATAAACTTGTCCCTAGGACAATAAGTGAGTTATATTGAATATCCTTCCTCGATTATCTCAAGTATTTGTTTTCTCAGGTTGCTCACTCCCAGATGAGGGGCCACCCTGAAGTCTTCTTGAGGGGGCTGGGCAGGGGGATCTTTCCAATCTTGGAAAAACCCCAAACAAGAGATGCTTTTGGGGGTAGATGGTTTTTCCAGAGAATCCCATCCTCTCCAACTCTCAGGAAAGGCAGCAATGTACAACCTCTGTGTAATCTATGCTGGAACCTGGAGGAACAGGGGGATCAAATGGAACCACCTGCTGAGATACGGTACTTTGGAGATTTTCTCACTGGAAGGAGGGAGGGATTAATTCGTTCTCCAAAGCGTCAGTGACAACTTTGTTTCAGTACTCCCCAAAGAGCTTATCAACAAAATATTTGGAAGGATAATCAGATGTTAGACAGCAATTCCACTTTTGTCAAAACCCAGTGGCCCCCTTCCTCAGGGGGTCCCCTGGGGAGGCAGATCAGCATTGTATGTTGCTAACGCTGTTGCAAGCATCGCAAGCCATTTTGGGAAGGGTTAAAGGGTTAAAGGTATGAGTGTGGAGTGGAAGATTCCTTTGCAGTTTGTGAGAAGCCGAAGGGGGAGGAAGGGAGAAGAGAATGGGTTAACTCAATGCTTCAGCTCTCAGCTCAGCCTGAAAATAAGACGGGGGTTCCAGTGCAAGGTCACAGCGCTCGAACAGATTCTATGCAGCCACATCTGTTTCTTACCCAACCCCCCCAACCGTGGGAAAAGGGGGGTCAGCTGGGCAGGGCATTGCAAAACTGGTGAGACAGTGAAGGCCAGCGAGGGCAAAAACAGAGTCCCATGTCCCTGATGTTTTTGGAATGCTGAGGACGCCGCAGAAAGCTGGTTTGGACTGGTACAAAGAGCAAGGGGGACAGAGGTCCCTGGACAAAACACCCCCAAAAGACCCCAGGACTTAAAACCCTCCTTAGAGCTGAAGCAAATCGGAGATCAACAGCGGACCCTGGACGACCTGTGCATAGGACAGAACTCCCGTCCACCTCTTCCCTCCCTTCTTCGTACGTTACACCCAGGCTTCGCCAGCCCTGGGTAGTGTGTGTGCGAGTATGAAAGTGGGTTAGGGCCTGGGGCACTAACGCTTTCTTCCTTTCTTTGAGTGACGTGGGGAACCCCCAGCACTCTCCATTGTTATTTTATTAATAAAGCTTTAAAATTCAGTCACTTGGTGTGCTCCGTCATCTCCTCCCCTAATGATCCTGTGGCCTCAGCCTGATCACCTGACGCCTCGGGCAGATTGGTAACAGAAATCTGTCATACTTTCTTCAAATGGAGCCATAGTTGCCCCCAAGACACATCTTTGGCATTTTTGAACGTATAGCAAATCAGTCACATAGAATGAGGAGTGGGCTGCAGGCATTGGAGACAACTGACTTATTAATTTCAGAAAGGTCACAGGAGCTAGCATCTTTCAAGGCAGATGAGGACTTGCAGGTAAAACTGCTAGTGAGAAGGGGCTTGCTCTGTGGCCTTTTAAACCATCTCAGCATATACCTTGCCTCTGTGCTAGCTGAGAGCAGGAATTTCATCCTCCTGGTTGCTATGGGGGAAACTTGTCATGCCCTGAGAGGTTTAGGAGATTCCACAGAAACTTTCCTGCTTGTTCTGGAAGCTGTAGCAATAGGTGTCCCATGACCGGGGGAGAGGCAGAGGGTTTTGAAAAACATACACCTGGTTCCAGGCCACTTATTCTGCCCTTATCTTAGCAAAGGGAATTTCATCGGCATTGATTTAGACCTTGCCCACACATCAGGTGGGAGCTGAGTTTCTGCAGCCTGCCATCTCTGTCTGCCATTTCTGAGGAGGGAGAGGAAGAGAGGGGCTGTCCTTGAAACCCGTCTCAGAAAGTCAAAATAAATTTAAAGTTTAGCTGTTTTGAGAAGAAAAACTTCAAAACCAATGAAGAAACTGACTTTAGTTAAAAATATTTACAAAAACATGTGAAAGCTATGCTACAAAAGGAGACCTGGAGTCTGCAGTACATGACACTCGGAGGCAAATAATTCTGGAAAGGAGTTTTTCCTGAGGGTTCATCCTGAGCCCAGGCTTATAGTAAAGATCTGGTTTTCTTTCATAGATTGTAAGACCAGAAGGGACATGGAGATAGGGAACATCCATTCCAAAGACCATCTGACATAAAGAGGACTGAGAAGTCACTTATTTCTAGATTGCACAATCAATATTAGTATCAGCTAGAAGACCACAAGTTCCTCAGAGCACTGATTTGATAAAGCTGGTTAAAATTTCACAGTTAGTTTCATTTGGCCTCTATGCCTGGCAATTTTTATTATTTGGAAAGAAGAGAGTTTACAGTCCAAAATATTAAGACCAGGAAGTATACTGCTTATAAAATATAGAAATCCAAGTTTAAATAGAACTTACGTTAACTATTGATTCCTTTGTTTGAGCCATGTCTGAAATAACCCCATCTGTAATAATGAGAAGAACAAAATACTGGGAGCCATCTTTTACCGAGGAAGCATATCTGAAACAACAACAAAAAAGACCAAAATTATAACAGCAGAAAACCTGTATACAAACAGACTAATATGACAAACTGTACTTTGCAATTCAATTGCTTAAAAAAGTAATGCTGAGGGTCTATGCTAGGCCCCCCAAAAGAAAAAGCATTCATAATTAAAACATAGCCTGCAGCTAGGGGTTATTTTACAAGTTAATACATAAGGCACTACATATGATAGTTTACACACAGAGACTCACAGTTTTATTCTACTTTATAGACAGACTTTATTTAGAGATACAGGGAAACAATTAATTATTTGCTCAGGAATCTGTTTAGCTAAATTACCTGGTCCAGATCAGGGACCTTCTGTGTGAAGCTCTCCCTCATATTATTTAGAAATTAGGCCTCAGTCACCTTCACAGAAGCATCTTTCTCTTCAGAAGTCTCACCAGATATAGGGGCTATACTGAGAGAGGATGCAGAAGAGATGCACATCATCTCTCCTATACCCAATGTGGAATCTCCAAAGAACGTAGTACACTCTCCAGGCTGTATTACTTCTGATGAATCCACTCCACCTGGGGGCACTGTGATCAAAGGGAGGCACTGGTAGGGTGATGATCCAGGCTACCAGGGATACATCAGAGTTAAAGTCAATGCAAAGGTGTAGGAAAGTACAGAGATCCTTGGGATTCCGCCAAGTTTAGGGTTCTGTCATTTTCATGATAGGTAAACCCTGTTCTCCCCCCAAAAGGAGAACTCTGCAGAAGCATCCCCATTGAGATTTTCTTCCATAGCGACTTCTCCTTTTGGTTTTAACATGCGAGGGTATGATCTTGGCCTCTGTTATTTATCTGTCACACCATAATGCATAAATTTCATAGTTGGTCCCGTGTGGATTATGAGCCCATACAATAGCACAAAGTAGTCCTATAAAAATGAAGTAATATATATGTGGAACAACGTTTCACTCACTAGTGTCCAGAGTGATTTTTTAAAATGTTTTTTTTTAAATCTCCTACCCTGGTCTTCATTCTTTAAAATATATATCAATGTAGTATATTAAATTAATTTATATTTAAAAAATCCTAAGAACTAGGGATGTGCATACAAAATTCAACTAGTCTCATGAACTTTCATTGTTGTAACCTTCATCCTCTCACATCCCCTCCATACTGCTTTTGTTTTTGCTATGTTAAATCTAAGCACTTCGGATTAAGGACCTGACATTTTATTTGTTTGGAAAGTACCATTTGTCAAAATTAGTTGATTACTACAAGTTGAAGAAACTGAAAATTATATCTTTTTCCTTTAGAATTGTTCAATGTAACTGACAATAAGCATTTTTTTGGTGTGAGCTGGGTTGAAAGAGCTTTCTCAGGAATGGACTTGTTTCTCAGGAATGACAATTTGTCAAAGAGTTTCTGCAATGGCATAAAAACAATTGAAAGAACAGTTGCATAGGTGTAAGTGGTAGCTGCATGTTCCTTACTCTAACCATTGGTCTTGTCGTTGTAGATTTTTACAAACTGAGAACACTATGTGTAGGATTCAAAATATAAAGCTGTTTTAGATAGTCAACTCAATTGGCAACTCAGACTTACAAGTAGGCTGTTCAAAAAGAATGGCTAGGAATTTGACTTTTCTTTACTACCATGGAATAGTAGCTGTTTAAATGACCTATCCTGAAACTAAGTATTTTACTTATTCTGTACACCTAAGCTAACATAGTTTTTCCTAAAATAAACTAGTACTGGAAATAAAACCATTTATGGGTCAAGTCGTTTAAAAAGAAGCACATATAGAAAGAACCCCTGGATTCCTTACTCCCTGAGGCAGTGGAGTTTAAGTCCAATACAAACATTATATATTAGGACTGGTTAAGATGTATCAGCAATCTACACTGAGTAACTGAAAGGAAAACTCCCAAGTACCAGCACAATTCAAAATAGTTCTTTGTGACTATAGTTTTTCAGTTGCATTTTACACAAGTAAGGAAAAAGCTCTGAGCTATGAAATTACACATTTATTCATGGTCACATGGTTAATGAAATTAAGTTTTCAGAAAGTTCATAGTGTAACAAGGCACAAATCAATCAAAAGTAGCACACTGTACATTGCAGGTGTTAACTAACTAAAGTACTTGTTTGACAGCATGGGAGGAACTACCTACAAACTCCTGGAACATATTCTCCAGAGAATCAGTCTTCTTGTCAAGTCAGTGATCCCCAAAGAACAAGTGGGATTCCGGCCTAAATGCTGTTGTTGCGACCATGTTTTGGCCATTGTAACACATATTAAGGCCTGATTCCAGAAGAAATTTAAGATCAGCACAGACTTTGTAGACCTGTCATTGGCCCACAATAGAGTCTGGATTAAAAGCCTGATGCTAAAGCTCACAAGGATCATCCCCTGCCACAACACACTACACCTTCTATGGACGATGCTGAGCAATAGGTGGCTACGTGTTCACCTGGGCAATGAAGTCAGTTCGCTCTGGTTCCTCAACAATGGACTGCCACAAGGCTCAGTACTCACGCTGATGCTTTTCAATGTTTACAAGAGTGACATGCCTCCAAGCAAATTTGAGTATGTGGATGACCTTGCCCTGGCAACACATGCAGCCACCTTCTGTGACATCAAGTCCACCCTGAACAGGGACCTACAAACCAGGGAGGAATATTTCTGGAAATGGAGGCTGAAGCCAAATCCTCACAAAACAACAGTCACTTCATTACATCTTGATAACAAGAATGCTAAGCGCACCCTGAAAGTTACCTTTGGCAACACTGTGCGACATGATACCACTCCAACCTAACTCACAGTAAAGTTGGATTGCACACTAATCTTCCACAACCATCTGAAGAAGATAGCTGTCAAAATGAAGACAAGGGTCAACACAGTGCAGAAACTGGCAAGAACAATGTCATAACTATAAAGGGAAGGGTAACAGCTGTCCTGTGTACAGTACTATAAAATCCCTCCTGGCCAGAGACTCCAAAAATCCTTTTCCCTGTAAAGGGTTAAGAAGCTCAGGTAACCTGGCTGGCATCTGACCCAAAGGACCAATAAGGGGACAAGATACTTTCAAATCTTGGGAGGAGGGGGGGAAGGCTTTTGTTTGTGCTCTTTGTTTGGGAGTTCGTTCGCTCTTGGGACTGAGCGGGACCAGACATCAATCCAGGTTCTCCACATCTTTCTAAACAAGTCTCTCCTATTTCAAACTTGTAAGTAAATAGCCAGGCAAGGCGTCTTAGTTTTACTTTGTTTTCTCAACTTATAAATGTACCTTTTACTAGAGTGTTTATCTGTTTGCTGTACTTTGAACCTAAGACTAGAGGGGAGTCCTCTGAGCTCTTTAAGTTTGATTACCCTGTAAAGTTATTTTCCATACTGATTTTACAGAGATGATTTTTACCTTTTTCTTTAATTAAAAAACCTTCTTTTTAAGAACCTGATTGATTTTTCCTTGTTTTTAGATCCAAGGGGGTTGGATCTGTATTCACCGGGAGTTGGTGGGAGAAAGAAGGGGGGATGGTTAATTTCTCCTTGTTTTAAGATCCAAGGGGTTTGGATCTGTATTCACCAGGGAATTGGTGAAGGTCTCTCAAGGCTACCCAGGGAAGGGAATTAGCTTTGGGATGGTGGCAGCGGACCAGACCTAAGCTGGTAGTTAAGCTTAGAAGTTTTCATGCAGGCCCCCACATTTGTACCCTAAAGTTCAAAGTGGGGATACAGCCTTGACAAACAAGTTTAAAAGCATCAGCATCCCAGTGTTATGGACATCAGCGATGAGACTTATGTACTCTGTAATTGAGTACTGTGCACAGTTATGGACCGGAAGTAGCCATAATTGACTTGTTGATATCCAACTAAATTCTGCAATGTGGTGCATCACTGGAACCCTCAATTTGACCTCAACATCTTGGCTGCCAATGCTGTTGCACATTCCTCCCCCTTCCATTCGATGTGATGCCGCAACCCTTTGGGAATTCCAGAGGATCATGGAAAATGAACATCTTCCCATCCACCAGGGCCTTAACAACGTCCATCACCACCACCTGAAGTCGCGTAAACCTTTTTGGGCCCACACATTTAACCTTCAACAATGCAACTTCAACCCTGATGAAGCCTGGAAAGCTGAATGGAATTCACAAGAAGTCACATATAAACACCTCATGAAAGAGCTGATGCAGAAGATCTCTGGCTTTGATCTCCCATGAAGCTCATGGGCAACCCTAAACTGTATCGGCACAAACTATGACAGATGTGGATACTTTCTGTACAAATGGAAAATTAAAGACTCTCCAGTATGCGACTGTGATCACCCAGAACAGACCATGGAACATATAACAACTCAATGCCCGATTCACAAATATGAAGGGGACATCACAGCAATAGCCTCTGCTATTCCAGACACAATTATCTGGCTTAACCATCTAAATGTAAAATTATAGTTGTTGCTCTACATTTACATCAGCCATACAAAGAAGAATACAGCTTTTATATCTCCTATTTTGTTTTAATGCTATACTTTAACATTATGTTGTAAAAGATGTACTGTTATTGCAATTTGTGCTTCGCATAAGATATTTAATAGAAATTTTAATTGCAAGTTGTAAATGGCAGGTCATAAATCCAAGGGCAATTTTGGTCAAAGGGCAAAAGAGCATATTCTCAAAGAACAGGACACTTCCCTTTTTACAAGACCCACTGGTCTGGTTTAGATATGATCTTTGTCTCTTAAGAAAACACATTTTTTAAAGAGTTTTATGTTTTAGAGAAAGACCTGGTAGCGTAAAAAAAAAAGAAAAGATTTTTTTTGTTCAGGTTATTCTAAAGAGAAATATAGGGATGTGTTATCAGAGCTATAAACTAAGACACAGAAGTGGGCTTTTTCTTTAGACCCTCCTCCGTTTTGCAAGAAAAAGCATCAGTTAAAACACCCACAAAATTCATATCGAAATACATTTCTTTTACAAACACTCTAAAGTTTTCATTCTTCAAATTAAGAAAACAAT